CCCCATCCCCTCCCACCTCCCCCATCACCTCCACACCTCCTCCAACCACTCCCATCTCAGCTCCCTGGGCCCACTGCTGGGCTGGGTCAGTGCCAGCCCTACCTCACATTGTCATGCCTCTGGATATAAATCTTGTGGAAAATCCTCTCAGGGGGCTTCAGGAAGTCCTCCTTCATCTCCATGGCAACATTCCGGGGCAAGAGGCTCATGAGGAGCCGCTCCTGGACAGGAAAGAAGGGCCCGTGTCAGGCAGCAGGGCCCCTGCTCTTCCTGACCATACCCTTCCCAATGAGGCTGGTGGTAGAAGCTGCCCTCAACGAGGGGCTACAGACCCTCCTCCACACACATGGCCGACCACATCCAGTCCTGCAGACGCTGCCTAGCCCTTAGAGCCCAGGTGGGCCCGAGCCCAGGCTTGCACTGCCATTGAAACAAGGAACTTGCTCTAGGAGCGCTGGCCGAGCACCAACCCCCACGACACCTGGACATGCCCACAGCACCCCTAATGCCACTCCCTGGGCCAAGGTGCTCAGTCTTGGCTGCCTGCCTAGGCACTCTGAGCTTCCATGTGTAGTGCGCACAGCTGAGAAAATGCTGCTGTCTCCAAGCAGGGTCCCTAGCCTCTCTTCACCCCCCACCCCATCCCCCACTGCTGCAATATACTCCAAAGAGTCTTCCACACTGGCTTATAAAAGTAACTGAGCTCCCAGGGCTCACACAGATAAGCGGTCTCGGGGACAATGTAGCATTTTCTCTTGATCTCTGTCTTCTTTTTTCTCCCTTAACTGTGCAGGACAAGCATTTTCTTATTCCCCCAAAAGAATAAATGTTTGTTTTTTTTCAAAATGAGCTGTGCCATCCTGGAGAATCCCTTCCTCTGCCTAGGCCTTGGTTTGGTCATCTAGACCAAGACTCTCATCTTTCAAGGGAATCCTCTCAGACCTCAACCCCGGCTGGCCCTGGACCCGCCAGGCTCAGCCCTGTGTCTGAGAAGCCCTGTTCCAGAAACATCATGCGAGGGTCCCCCACTTTGCCTTCAGTCCCTCCGTGCCCCCTCCCACTCTGCTTTGGAAAGGAAGACGAGAGTGAAGTTTAAATCCATGTAGAACCAGGTAGAATATCCTTCCTATAAGGGAGGACACGAGGGCTGGAGAGAGGCGGAGGGGACGTATCCTCCCTCTGTGGCACAGAGACACACCCTCCCCCCTCCTTCCCACCTCCACCCTCCCACACCCACCTCCACCCCGACCCCTGTCTCCCACCCTGCACGAGCCTGCCGGGTACAGTTCTCGGGGCTGGGATCCCTACTGGACCACAGGCCCCCTCTGTGGTACGTGAGGCCACATCCCTGCCCTAGGAGCAGCCACCGTCCATTTTCCAGAAGCCTTTGCACCAGAGTCCACCAGGGCAGCAGCCATGCAAACAGCTACACAGACCCTGCAAGCACTTCACACACAGGACTCATGCGGCAATGAAGATCGTATTCAACACACTTAAGAAGCCTTTTCAGGTAACTCATAAATTTAGGAGGAAGAAGGCCAGGGCTGGCCCTGCTGGATGCCAGGTAGGGCCAAGTTTGCATATCCAGGCGAGGCCCGCCTAGGTCCTGGCCTCAGAGCCTGTGGCCTGACCATATTCCCTAAGCGAGACCCAGGTCTACACTGAGAATGCCCCCGCTGCGGCCCCCACATAGCCTGTGGGTGGACAGACCCCAAAGCAGAGGGATGCTGCAGAAGGCTGTGACCACTCTCCATGTCAGGTCACACAGAGAGAGGACACAGCAGTGTCCTGGCCACAGCATACAGGAACAGCCTTGGGGACTGAAAGGCCCCATCACACAGGGTGTGAGAGGGTGTGCGTGTCCTGTGCCCAGCCGAGAGGCTGTCAGGCCCCTTCCTCAACTGAGAGGCCTCTGGGGACAGGGCCCACAGAAAGGGGCCATCTGCAGGTGGCCAGCTGTGCTAAGCTGGAGGGAAGTTGGACCAGGTGCTCACTCAGGCCAAGCACCCAAGGACCAAGAGCAGCATCAGCAACGCGGGCACCACTGGAAGCTTCCGGAGATTGTCATCAGCCCAAGGCACAAAGGCTCAGCCAGGTGGGAAAACAGAAGCAGCTGGGCAAACACCAAGGCCACCTGGGAACTTTCCCAGGCAGTCCCAAAGTCCTGGGGAGAAGCAACAGTCCTCAGTGCCTTGGGCCAATGTGCCACATGCCCAGGCTCAGGGGTCACTGTGGCAGGCCCTGCAGAGACCCACACAGGGGTGTTTGGCAGAAGACATCTCGCCCCAAATCCTGGCTCTGCCACTTAGGGCTGCAGCTAAGCTATCTCCCGTCATCGCACCTGGCAGGTGATGATAGTATTTGGAGAGGAAAAGGGACCCATAGGTCTGGCCCCCGGCCTCCCACTGAGCCACAGCAGTCACTGTGCAGCCATGAACCTCCCAGCACCACCCATCCCATCACTTCTATGCTCTGCTCGCTGGCTCTCACCTGCACCCACAAAACCACCAAACCTCTCCAAAGCAAAATCAAGCAAGTAAAACCTGTCCTTCACCCAGTGCCATCTCCCACCTCCCTTTACTGTCAATTTCTCAAAGCACCCCTTCTGACAGCCTCTGAAACGCTCTTGCTGTAGGAACCCAGCCCGAGGCAAGGCCTTAGGGGTTCTTGGTCTTTCCACCATCCCGACTGCCCTGCATGATTTGGACTAGGATGGACACAGTCACCCACAGACCAATGGGCTAAGTCATTCAGGCTGGAAAAATGAAAACTGCAGAAGGATAGTGACCACCAGGGACCTCAAAGACGTGTCAGGGGAGCATCTGGCACCACAGGTGCTAATCCCAGAGCGAAGGAGAGAAAGCCTGGGAGAGGCCACCTGGCACACAGCCCCCACACACAGACCGCAGGGACTGGGGCTCCTCATGCTGGAAATGCCAAGCCATGGAGAGTGGTGCTATGGCAGAGTCACTGGCCAGCCACCGGCTGTCCCCAGTGTCCCTGTTACCCCACTAACACCACCATAGAGCCCCTATTTTCATCAGGATTCTTGGCTACCTGGAATAAAGGTCCACATTTTCCAGCTTCCCATGCAACTAGATGTGGCCAAGGAGACACAAGTTGAAGGGTCACATGGGAGCTTCTGGAATATTCCTTAAAGATTGCTTGGTCCTCTTCCCTTCCTCTCCTGCTGTTGCTGAGAATACAGTCATAACAGCTGGATCTCTGCTACCATTTTGGTTCAAGAGGATGAAGGCCACACCTTAGGGACACAGGAGGGGAACTAGATGGAGAACGGGTTGCTGAGGGTTTCGTAGATCAGACCTACCGCACCATCATAAAGTGCTTACCCTGGAATGTGCACATAAAAAGAGCTGTCTCATTTGTTTAAGTCACCATCATGAAGTTCCCAATAGCAGACTACTTCTGGCCAAGGGCTAGGCATTAACACCATCTGATGGCATCTAAAGTCTGCACCCCAACCCCACCCACACCAGCAAAAGCCAAGGATGGAGGCCAGGCCTCCACTTTCCCCAAGATGTGACAAGGCCCCCAACCTACCCCATGTTGGGTGGTATTAGAGACACCATGGAGGGGGCCCACCTTTCCTCTCCACTTGGTAGTAATGAGCACCTCCCACTCCGTAGAGTCAGTGGGACAATGGGCTCCCCTGCTCCTCCATCCAGCCCAGTGGAACCTGTGGGACCCAGGATTCTCACTCCTCCCCAGCACTGGGGAGGAGCCTTTCCGCTGTAGGTGTCAGCGGAGGCCCAGCATGGAGCCTGGACTTCTACCTCCACTTGGAAAAGAGATGGCAGCCCCCTTCCCTGCCAGAGTGATGTCCCTGAAAACTAGCCAAAACAAAAGGTCCAAATAATATACACAGCTACGTACATGATATCCCAAATGTCCAGGTTCCAAAGGAATATCACTCATACCAACAGCAAAGACTTTACAGCAGCCACTGCAACAATGAGTTGATGAAGAACTACAAACACACTTAAATAAATATAGATGTAAAAATCCTTCACCAGATATTAGCAATTCAGCAATATGCAAAAAATAATTATACACCCTGACCAAACAGGGTTGAATCTAGGGAGGTAGTGCTAGTTCAAAATTGAAATTATCAGTCAATGCCATACACCACATCAACAGGATAAAGAATAAAATCACATAGCAATTGATACAGAAAAATAATTTGACAAAATTCAATATCCATTCATGATGAAAACTTTCAGAATAATAGAAATAGTGGAGAACTTCCTCATCTTGATAAAGAACATCCAGAAAAAGCCACAGCTAACATTATACTTAATGGTGGAACATGAAATGCTCTCAGCAGGAACAATGCAAGAATGATGGTTCTCATCGCTCACATTCAGCAAGGCACTGGAAGGTCTAGTCAGTGCAATATGGCAAGAGGAGGAAAGAAAAGACACACAGACTGGAAAGGAAGAAATAAAAATGATATGATGTTCTACACAGGAAATACAAAGGATGCTACAAAAACAAAACAGTACCAAAAAACTCCTTGAACAAATAATTGAATTTAAGGGCTAGCCAGTTAGCTCAGTTGGTTAGAATAAGGTGCTGGCAATACCAAGGTCAAGGGTTCAGATCCCCATACGAACCAGCCGCCCAAATAATTGAACTCAGAATGTCATGTGATATAAGATCAATATACAAAAATCAATTGTATTTCTAAATACTAGCAATAAGCACATGGACACCGAAACTAAAAAATACATTTACAATCACTCAAAAAATGAAATACTTAGGTATAGATCTAACAAAGCATGTATAGGACTTATACGAGGGTACTTCAAAAAGTTCATGGAAAAATACAACTAAAAGATAATATGAATCTTTTTTAAACTTTCTGAAGTACCCTCATATGCTGAAAACTACAAAATACTGATTAAAGACATCAGAGAAGATCTAAATAAACAGAGGCATACCATGTGCATACATTAGAAGACTCAACATAGTAAAAAGGTCAATTATCTCCAAATTTATAGATAGGTTTAATACAAATTCTATCAAAATCCCAGCAAATTCATCGGTAGATACAGACAAGATTATTCTTAAATGTATATGGAAAGGAAAAGAAATAATAATAGCTAACATAATTTTGAAGAACAGTAAGGTAGGAGGTATCAATCTACTTGATTTCAAGGATTATTATATAACAACAATAATCAAGACTGTGTGGTGTTGG